AAGGTCAAACACTGACATTTTGTTCAACAGACATAGAGTGAAATATGACTTCCCTACATACTCAGCTACATCCCTCATGGAGATTTTTCAACAGTTGCTTCCAGCTGTACTCTGGAGCTGAGAAAAATTCTGCATGCTGAACTATTTGGAAACAATCCAATTAAAAAAAAAAAAAAAAAAAAAGCAGGAGGTTAAGGCCAAAATCCTTCATCTGAAAGTCTTTGGATGAGTATGTAAATACAAATACCGGATATGGTTTCAGAAGCAGTCTGGTCTGGACTTCTAACTGGTTTGCTAGTTACAAGTTCTGCTATTCATACCAGGCACTCTCTTTGCATATATGGTCTTGCTAATGAGTGTGGGATTGTTTATTTTGGTGGACTTCTAGGAGAAAGCAAAACTTTCTGTGAAAGAACCCTTCAGTCTGCCCCGCACTAACAGTATGAGCTATATTACTGGTTATCATAAAGCTCTCCTGCTCAGTAGTCTCCTGGTTCATTTCAACATTTGACCTCATCTACATTTTCTGCAAAGGTAGGCCAGTAGTCATATTTGGTGTCATCTATGTCTTGTATCTCCTTGCTTACACCTTTACGTCAGTTATAAGGAGCATGCACATGTCTAAATTCTTTTAAGCTGTCAGTAGCCACCTTTGTATTTTCACAAATCTATTTGTTCACACATAATGCTACCTGCACCAGCCTGAGCAGGTGGGAGCTGACACAACCACTAAGCAAAGACCTCAGCAGGGACATTAGGAATTTGGTGATCTGTTCACCCACCTGAAAAAAACAAACCCCTCTTTCAGAGATGAAGTAATCACGTTCAGTAAGAGACCTCAAAATGTCCCTTTTATTAAAGCTCAGTCATCTAACTCAGCTCTGCCAATTTCAACAATTTGTATCAGAGGCAGTTTGTCCCTTGAAAATACTTAAACAGACTGTCCAGCCAAAGAAGAAAAAAAATCATAATCATGAAAAACATCCAAACAAATCTATACCTTGTGCCTCTTAGAAGTTCATCTAACACTTCTGAATTTCCTAAACTTAACATAATTAGGATAAAAATAATAAAAAAGTGATACAGAATTTACTTTCCTGTTCTGGTTTTGTGATTTGGCTAATAACTAAAAATTTCTCATTAAAAGAAAAACTTGTTTACATCTTTGCTAGAAGATTTGTTACTCATGTAGATGCCAACTTGCTAAGATTCATCCTGAAGACACAATGCTCTGAGGAGAAAGAGAAACGAAAAGAAACGAAAAGAAACCTTTTTGGTAGTAATATCAATGAAAGATATTTTTGTCCTCTAGTTTATCTACACTTTTTTGTTTTGTTTTGTTTTTTTTTTGCTTTTGGGGAGCTGACTGAAACATATGTTGTAGGCTTGTCACTGAAGATCTCCTTGAATTCAACCAACTCTTTTCTATGGAGGTTGTACAAAAAGTTGGTATTCAGAAGCACTGTTTTTTCTCCAACAGCTCTGTCTATTTTGTAACTCTGTGTCTGAGGACCCACATTACATTAGGATCTGAATTTAGATATTTCCTCATATGGTGTTTACACAGACCATCAAGTCTAGCTAGAAATTAATGCCTTTAATGCAATAACACATTCCTTGAGTCTGTTCCTTTCCAGCAGTAGAAGTAAAACATCTTCACAAGTACAGTACCTTTGAGTGAGATTCATCTCTTCTGACTCTGGATAGTAACAGTGCAGATATCCACATCTGAGATTATTGAATTGTCTTAGGCTTCCTTTGCAGTCAATGGAGAAAATCTCTAGGGTGCAATTTATCTGGCCTATTTGAGATTTTAGTAAATGATGAATTGCACTTAGAAGAACATCTTTTTCTCCGTTGACTGTAAAGTAAGCCTAGGGTATATACCTGAGATGTAATTATCTAGTGCTACAGCTTGTATTTTAAAAAGGGAGAAAGACAGAAAGAGGTGTCTTGTTGGAACAATGCCTTGTAATATAAAGGCCAGTACTGGTACTTCAGGTCTCATCACTAATGCTTGTGACTATGACCTTTATATAGGACTAGGTATTTCTGCTGACTTCCTCCTTTCTGCTTATTTATTGGGTCACATAACAGTTTATTGGTTGCACTTCCCCCCTTTCTTGCAACTGTTGGTTCAGTTGTCCAAACTCATATGACCCTATTCAAGACCTTTCTTGACCTCTCATTAGGATTACAGCTGGGCTCCAGTTTATCAGCAACAGTCTGAAAAAATTTTAATCAATGCTGATCCCCAAAGCCAGGCAAGCAACCCTATTAAAATTAATGAGATGGCAACCCTGTAAAAGCAGGCAGGACTGACTGATGGGGAAGCTACCTGATGGCACCAGAGTCTCTTGACAAATCAAATGCACTCAGGTGTCTTGTCAGCTTTTCACTCTCTTTATTTTCCTGTGTAAGCCACCATATATAGATACTTCTGCTTCATTCTGCCTAGCACTCACTTGCTCAGGGTGAACAACTGCCCAGAGCAATCCAGTCCTATTACCCTCAAAAGATCACATACAAATTATGCAGCTATGCTGTGGCTTTGTAATTCTGACAGTTTGAAGGAAGAATATGCAGGAGAGTGAGATGAAAAGAAAACACTACAATAGGAAGTGTAAGTTTCCTCAAAAAGCTATTATTCTACAAGAAATAATGATGAACAACATTTTTAATCTTTATGTTCTTAACAGCAGAATGTTGACTGTTTATTTTGAAAGTTCATATTAAAAACAGTGTATGTGGTATTGAAGAATGTTTATAAAGAATCTGAGGTATCAGTAACATCTCCTGTGAAATGCATTTGAACACTTCATATTCCTCTACTACACTATTAGTTTGGGTCACCTTTCTTTAAAACACATCACAGCAAGGGAGCCCTTTTCTACTAAGTATGAATGTGGAGGATCTTGGAAATTAAGTCTGATAAGGGAAAACAATTACAGTGAAAATTGTTCAGACTCTTGTTGATGTTGTTCTGAATTATTATTACTATTATTTTTTTTTTTAAACTCTTCCTTTGAAAGGTTCATTTTCCATGGAAAGGGAAGCACTGTCTTCATATAGTTCTGCTTGGTAACACTTTTGAAATATTGTGGAATGACCTACAGATCATTGCACATACAGCCCTGGTTTACCATCCTCTCTCGTGTCTTCATAACTCAGTATCCCATCTCATAAGGTATCACACCAGACAAAAGAGATCATTTTCAAACAAGGAAACTAAAACCTTGAGTCCCTTAACTCCTAGAATAAGTTCTGATTCACGCTACTGAAAAATGTAGGTATCACACCAGACAAAAGGGATCACTTTCAAACAAGGAAGCTGAAGACTCGAGTCCCTTCGCTCCTAGAATAAGTTCAGGTTCACTCTACTGAAAAATGTAGAAAATGGTTCACATACTGTTGGGGTCTAACCCAACAGTAGTTAGCCCTCCATATATAAGACACCAGCAGATATTGTACATTGGAAGTTCATATTTCCTGGCATCTGATAAGTGCTGCTGATTGGAGAATTCCTCTGGTTAACATCAGGGACAAAGTTGGTGGTCTCTGGTTTTCTTCAGCTTAATCCTCTAGCTGCTCAGGAAAGCTACTTCAAAGAGCAATAGGGAAGAACATATGGACAGGGGACAGACACCTCTGTCTTTTGCAGCTTTCAAAACTCCAAGAAAACAAATAGACAAAATATAGGGGACCCCAGAAAGGGTTCAATTTATTGTCAATCAACTGTCAAAGCTTTCGGGGAGGGAGCGTGATTCCACAGTAAACTGCAAGAGAGTTGGAGGGGTGGCTCAGAGCAAAAGCATCTTATGTTTCTTATCAGACGCTCCAAGGATATCACAAACAGCTTCACACACTTCTGCTGTGGGGCTCCATTAAGTGAGATTCCTTCCTCAACAACCCACACTGCCTATGCACTTCTTTCAACAGCTTTTTGTCTGACCTTCTGGGTAATTGCACATGACCTATAATTACAGAGTTCTTTTTCTTCTCTGTTTTAATTCAGTGAACAAAGTGTTTACCATAGTTTTTTTGAGACCCCCTATATTATTTTCAGGGGCTGACATTAATACTTAAATCCTCTGTGGATTGGATTACCTTTATGTTTTTTACATAGGCATCCTAAAAAAAGAAGGGGAAAGAAAAACACTGCAAAAAGGCAGGAACTGTGGGATTGTGTTCAGTTTTCAAATAGGCTAGAGCATAGCAAAGACACCTGCATTTTTTGCAATTGTCTTGAAAAGTTAACTTCTTTAGATATTGTATCAGGTTTTATATTACTTTTACAAACTGTAAAGAACAATACCAAAGAGCTTTGATGGATCCAGTGACCATGCAATTTCCCATACAACTATAATACATGCAGCAGCAGCAGCACCACCACCAAAGAAATAATATCCTTCGGTATTTCAGACTGAATATTTATGAAGGCTCAACAGGGTGTCACATCAGAAATTCTGCAGCTCCGTTTGTTAATGATCCATGGAAAGAGCTGGATCAGCCACGCTCAACCTTGATTAGAGAAAGGAGGACAGAATGGTAAAAGTTACTCCTGAGCACAACAGCCTGGGAAATTCTTTACAAGCAGCCAGGAAAGAAGCAGAGTCATGTTTCTGCAATCAGAAAGATAACAGGACAACTAAAGATAAAGATGGAGAACCCAGGCAGTGCTCTAACGTCTAATAATAGTTTGTTCCCTGTACCTGGAGACATCAGGACTGCGATGCGAGGGGATGAAACAGGGAAGGGGAAGAAGGCAAAAGGTGGCTAAAGCCACCTTAATTGTTTTATAAAATCTCCTTATTCCTTCTCTGTCTTCCAAATCTGAGATACTAAACTATGCTTCCTTCAGACAATGAGAGCCAATCTCCCCATACCACGCATATCTTCCACTCAAAAGTAACCAAGGAAACAGAGTTAAAAATACCCTGAACACTGGGGATGGGAAAGAGGGGTGTGGTCCTCTTCTCTTTAAAGGGTCTTGGCTCTGCACAGGACCTTTTAATCAGCCATCTTAAGGCGGGGGTACTGAAGTGGCCTAAAGGTGCTAGCTCTCTGCTGTCAGAGGCTAAGCCAAGCTGCTTTAGGAAGGAAAGTCTGCAAACAGCACAGGTATTGCAGTCATTAAAATGAGTGTGGAGGTGGAGAGCATTCTTGCACTGTGGTTGGGACAAAGGACAGTGAGCAGCTACTGAGTCACATAGCAGCAGCACATCCCTTATGTGTCCCTTTTCCTCCTTCTTTCAGTAAAATCATCACTCAGATGGAAATAAGAGACACTGCCATAAAGATTCAGAAAATAAAGCAGAATGGTAAGAGGACTGAGTATATAAAATATACTTGTCTATTTTAAACTAGTGATGAGAGAGAGAAATCAGTGAGACAATGCATGCCTAGAGATTATGTTTTTATTTTCAGAGAAACCCTGCAACAACATGTCCTTTAAACAACAGGACTCATGGCACAGCTGACACTGGGAGAAGATGTATGTAGATTTGACAGGGTGCACTCAAAGAACTGTGGGAGCCGTGGGGCGCTTGTGACAAATTCTTTTCTGACAGCACCAAAATTTCAGCTCTGCAGCTCCTAGACACTTGCTTTGACAAACAGGGAGTAGCTGAGTCCCACAGTCACCCCATTAGTGCCTTTCAGGGCCAGGGCAAGACAGCTGAGATGCTGTCAGCATTGGCTGCACTGACACTGCAGGAGGCTGCAGCGGCTTTTCTCCAATAATAAGTATTAAATTTAATAGGCATTAATCTGCAATGAAATGAATTTCATTTCTGTCAGGGTTGAATCTGAGACTAGGATCACACAGAATACAGGAAAAAGTGAAAGAAAGAGCAAAGCAGTTTAAACTCTTAACATCAGTTTGGCTTTTTGTTTCTGAACTAATACGTGGATAGATGGAGAAATGAGAGAAGGAGAGTGTGCTAATCATCAGTCTGCTGCTAGAAATTGCTGAAAAAAACAAAACAAACAAACAAACCAAAAAACCAACAGAAAACAGGACCATTGGCATTGATTTTTATGATCATCTTTTGCTCTCTTCTCGGAATCACCAATGTCCTGGGCATTTAACATTCCTGAAGCCTGGGGTAATTCATTCTGATCTTTTAGATTAAGATTAGGAGTGAAGGGAATGCATGAAATCAGTCTGTGTTGATTTGTAATGTCATATGTTCTTACTGCCTTTTGGTGTCCTTGTTAGGAAAAAAATCAGTGCTAAATATTAAAATTAGTTTGCATGGGCTTGGGAGAGTGCTGGTTCCTTCCTTCCTTTCTTCCTTCCTTCCTTCCTTGTTTTTTTTTTTTTTTTTTTTTTTTTTTAATTTCTAAGAGAGTCAAGTTTAATTGCACCAAGTATCTCAAGGAATTCTAGATCTGTTTTTTGTTGCTGATGATTCTGAGGGCAATGAAATTATCTAGTTTGTAGTCTCAGCTGTGAACAGAATTTAAACTTTTTAGATCAGAACTTGAACTAAGCACTTTTACATCAGAAAATACTTGTATTTTCTATGTGTATGTTGTATGTGTATTTTTATGACAGCGTTTTAGCCTGAACTATGGGAGAAGTTGCTCTGATATTGTTTCATGATGTTAAATAGGCATGTTGGAAATTTAATTTCAATATTTTTCCTGAGTTCTTCCCCTTACTTCTTCCTATCCCTCTCACACACACATACACTCTGCAGGCTTTCCAGGCAAAGTTAAGACACCAAAGTTAGCTGCTCATTCAACTATAAGGCAGTCAGTGCTCTTAGTAATGATTTCTTAAAATAAAGTTAATAGTTAACTAGTTAGATGTCTGACGAAGTAATACATTCTGCCTTAGGTGCTTAAACACGAGGAACAAATATTTTCCTCTTTATTTAGAAAAATAAACAAGCAAACAGAACAGTGTTACTAATCTCTTCACAGTGCAAGCCAGAGCTTTTATTCAAGTACAGTTAAGTCTGGCTCTCTATTCAGCCCATTTCAGTCTGTAGCTTTGTCCAGCTTCAGGCAATATATAGATGATAAGTGTCCTGGAAAACAAACTAAGAAACAAAAACCAATTAATTCATTTGTATGCTTAACCATTAAACTGAGGGTCTTTAGATAGTGTTGGTCATTGCATATGTTATTCTTTATTGCCTGCCATTCTTCTCTCACCCATGTGTTCCCTCCAGATTGGTTCCTTTTTACCACCACCCTTTTTACTGTACATACCTATATCTGATTGCTATGGGAATAAGCACTTGACATGTTTCCTTACAAATATATGCATTTATAGCTATCCAGATTTAATTATTTTCTCCACCTTCTGACAAAGGGACACTCTGTACAACTGCAAACTTCAAATTTCAAGCAGCTTCCAACAAATCATAAAGATTCAGGAAGAGCTTTCCAAAAACATCTCTGCTTATGTACTCTACTGCCTCTTCATGGGACAATCTAAAAAATAACATGCAGACAGCCTACCCCAATGTGCTGCTGGTATGCTGACCAAGGCAAACCCATTGTGTTTACTCGGACAGATAGGTTCTTACATATCACAGAAGGTATTTCTCAACAATTCTGTTTCCACATTTGCTCATTTGTTAGCTGTCTTCAGCAGCCGAGAGACACACTCAGTGTTACCGTCTCTCTGTCCTATTAATTTGTGACCTAGTTGTAAAAGGGTAATCAGATACACACTGACCTGCAGCCTTAAATTTCTTCTTTATTTGAGATTGGCAACTATTCCCTTGTCCCAAGGTCTCCTCTTTTGTTGCAGCCTGGGTATAGAATTGGACTTTAAAAGCTTCTTTTTTACAGAATTAAACAATTCCTTTCTGTTTGCTTATTATTTACCTTCTTAAATTAATAAGTATAATTTAACTTCTTTAAGGCTTTCTTTTATTTTACTACCCATTATCATTAAGCAGAATATATATATTATGTGTATATATATATATATAAATATATATTTATTTATTTTTTCTCTATGTAGGAGTAGGAAGTGGTATTCTGTCCTCTTCCTTTACTGTCATCTTCCTTTCCCAAAATGCCCTAAAACCTCTCATAAGCTATGGCCTGTTGCCTCTTGTATAAAATTCAAGGCTGACATGTCCTGCAAGCTGGAAAGATCCAAATCTGTATGAGCTTAGCAAGATAGTGATCTTGAGTTAAACTCTCTGAGTTTATTATCTGGGTAGAACATTCTGGGAGGATTTTTTTTTTTTTTTTTTTATATGTGGCAAGTCCAAAAGTTTTTTTTTGGCTTGGTTTCTTTGCGTGGAGAGAGAAACAGAGAGATTTACACACAGCAGGCCATGAGCAAGTTCCTTCTCTGTGATGGCCATGCACTGCTGTATGTGATCATAACAGAGATCTTCCCAGCCAGACTGTGTGGTGGGACAACTTCCTGAGAGACTATGGGAGAGACTCATGCCTACACTAGCATTGTGTTCAAAACTTAATCAGAGCAGAATTTCCATTGATTGAAAACAAGTGTTATGAATCACAGGCATTTGCAAAAAACTTAAACTTGGTAGTTTGAGGCCTGGAGCTAGAATGAACTGGGAAGAAAAGGGTTTATGGACTCATGTATTCTTTTATAATTCAGCTGTCTGATTAAAAAAAAAATAATATATATATATATATAAATATATATTTTTATGGAAAAGGGACTTTAGCATATGATGACAATGCTCACTCTAAGTATACACAGCCTTTCTTCTCTGAAAACTGAAGAAAACATGAAGATTAACTCATGTTAATACCAATTTGAACATGAGTAACACTGAAGGTTTTACAATCTCTCTCTCTTTCCTTTTACTTTTTTGTGTCAGGTCATAAACTAAATTCCATCATTCACTTTATAAAATGAAGTTCCTCTTTGTTTATGATTTAGTGTTCTTTAATAATAATTCTGCACTATATGCAGTTAAGTTCAGAGATAGAGGAGGTCCTTTTTGATGTCAGTGAACTCACATGTTGAAAAGATATAATCTGAAAAGTGATATGCTTTGAAACAATGTGTATTTACTACTAGTGGCTGGCATTCACATATTTTTTTATATATTTGGAGAGCTGTACAAAATATTACCAAAGTGACCTTATGCTACAGGAGTGGTAGGGATTTTTGTCCCCTGTTTTATATAGGAGTGAACTGTAACAAAAAGATGTTAAGTGTCTCATTAAATGTGATATATTGTACAAGTTTACAGTTCTCCAGTATATTCTCTAATGCTCTAAACATGAAGTCTCAGTTATGTTAAATGTATCTAAATACTTCATATTTAAATTCACCTAAAAAGAGCTAAGAAGCTTGGCTCACTATCTGTTTAAAATCTAACCAACATTTGTACATAAATTATTAAATTAACCTAAAAAAATGAAAAAAAAAGATGGTGTGGAAAACAGAAAAATAAGAATGGAAGAGAGAATGATTCATTTGTCATAAAATACTAATTGATGTAAAATTCCACCGATCACTTTCATAAAAAGTTATTGTGAGAATCATAGGAGAGAATCAATCCAGAAAACACCCTCTGTCAGTAGGCATCCTAGGTCTGAACATGTTTTTTGAGTAAGGGATTGCAGCTTTCCTGATTCTTGTCGTCAGTCACAGAAAACTTCCTGCCAAACACCCACAAAGTTTATAGCTATCTATTTTGAGAGTTATTTCATAGCCATAATTGAAACAGTAGGTGAAATAAACTCTTGGAAAGGATCTTCTTTAAAATAATGTTGTACATATGGATATTTAAAATGATAAAATAGAATCTCAATCTCTCAATCTACCAACACATCGAATAAATTCACATCAAAATGCAACAAAAATAGTTCACATTAGGGATATAGGCAATATTACAAGCACAGGAAGAAGTACAAACTCCATGTCCCCAATGCACTAAGGTTTTCCAGATGTTGACACTGTGCCTCAGATGACTAGACAAATGCTAATTCCAACATAAATGGCCAACCAATGAAAGAATACAGAAGCCATCCTATTACACCCAGCCAAACCATAGATGCAGTGCTGACAAGAACATATTTGCTCAGGGAGAATAAAAGAGCCACAGAGGAAGAGTCAGAAGTTATGTCTCCCTTGTGGTAGGCACTGTATACCCTTGTAATAAGAAGACTGTTTGCAACTCAGCGGGCTTACATTTCATGCAGTTTGGCTGTAGACAGTCAAAAGTGAGTTACTTTAGCTTTGTGAAGCTCCACTATTGTATAATTCTTATAGATTCTAGAAAAATCAGCATGCATTTAACTGCTCATTTAAGAATTTCAAACAGCAGAAGAATTATGTCACTGAATTTTTAAATCTTGAAGACAATTCATGTGGTTACCCTCTCATATGGGATACTTATGTCTAAGGATACAAAAGCATTATGATGTATAAAGTCAATGTCACATGAGGAGGGCTGTAGTGTAGTTTTAATGAATGTTAAATTTGCCAAGATGAAAATCTTAAGAGCAAAACAGTTATGTACTTCACATAATACTTAATAAAAAGGTGAAATTTATTGCCACAGAATGTTGTAGACACCAGAATCAAAGGGGAACAAAAAGAAACTGAATAAATGAATGAAAGAAAAGATCATTGGTGACCCACAAATCCAGGATAGGTCAAAATGGAAAGAAGATATCTGTGACAGGAATATAATGGTTAAGGTCACTTGTGAGAAGGCGGTTTTAGATGTCTAGCTTGCATGTGATTCAGAGTACTTTACATTGTAGCATAAGTTCCTACTTAACCACTGGAGAGAGTTGTATGACTTCTGAAGGTTATTCAAGTGCCTGAAGGTAAACTTCACAAAACCACTGGGACAGGTTTCATTACTACAGAAGATCAGTGTTTTTACTGCTCTATGCCCATGTGGCTAAACAGAGAAGCAACAATCAAAAAGCCTTGATAAGAAAACTCCTTTAAACTCTTTGCTTCATCTGC